GCTTTGTGGCCTATAGAGTTGTGAATCGCAGGAAGACCTAGGGCGTCCAGGAAGAGCATCGGTATGGGTAAAACATGGACATGTGCCGTAAGGTGTTGGCATGGGGTCGGTTTGAGAGGTGATGTTGATAGTGTGGTTTGAAGTGGGCGGAATAAAATATCGAGTTCGAAGTTCAGCTAATCCTGTGGATCGTCGGCCATCACGGGAATTCAAGCGATTGTAATCAACCTGTGATAGGAGGAGAGGAAACAGTGATTTAGTGACCACTTGGTGTAGACCGGTTTCTAGTGCGTTTCATAGATCGTGACTCAACGAGATTGTTCTAGAAAGCTGTATCACTATCCCCACTTACTGCGCTTTTTTCAAAGATGGTTGTCCCGAATCTCACCGACTTTAAGGGAAAAAGGTGTTCAGCTGTAGCACCCTATCGGTGTCTAGCTGCTATACCACCCGAGGGAAGCACGAGGACTGGAATACCGCCAGGTCACCCAAGCTTAGACAGGAGAAGTCGAGTGGCAAAGGTCGGGTTCGAACCACGAACCATCGGTCAGTAAACTGGCGCTTTAATCACTGAACCATCTCGCCTCAACTCTACGAATCTGTTGAGAAAGCCAATCGATCACTCTATTTTGTGGTTGGTTGGCGGTTTCTCAGTAAAGGACCAGGTAGGATGATATAAAAGGACTAACTCTGACAGCAGAACTACAGAAAGCTGCCAAAAATGTGTCGGTACCCTTATCCGATAAGAAGAACCAACCCAAACCAATAATTTGATAGAATGTTAGTTGAGAATTTGTCTTAAGTTCCTGTACCTTCTTGGTTAACGTTTAATCAAAATGCCATGCATCAACAAAAACAACCAACTTAATGAAGTGGCAACACACACTGTGTTCTGGTCGTAATTGATGGTTGTCCCGCCAATTGACGATGTAAAAAAGGATTCCAGCACAGCTTAGCATTTGCTTGTAAAAGAATACATGCTGTGCGGCGAGAACATCCTTTGGTCGATGAAGCGTTTTGATAAAAACACCATAATTTCGCTCTACCGTACCCAACATCCGATCAGGTTTGCGCGGCTTTTCCTAGGTGTCGATTCACAAAAAATGCAATGACGCTCAGATAACTCTAGTCGGACACCTGAACAAATAAGGCAAAAGTTCCGTGTGGAAAGCACCGCGAAAAACCGAGGTTATACCATTTAAATCCCTGAATAACTCACGTAAGAACGTCCTGTGGGCTCCAAATTTCTGGGAGCCCTGGAAAGTCATGAATTTTGTCTTATCAAATAAATTCAAACGTAGATGGGTTGTAATAAGATAGATAAAATTTTGTAAGTTGGTACAAAACGTTGCAAGCATACACATCACGGATGTTTGGAAACATCTGCCGAACCTGCAGGCACGTAGATTAAATAACATTTTTAACTCTGCCGGTGGAACAGCACAACGGTGATGCAAAGACGTTCCCCTTTTTACGAAATTTCGGACAAAATGCCATTGCAGAATATAGACTGACTGGTAGATTATACTTTTCAGAAAGGGTTTATTACGTGCAGAGGTAAAAAACGCGGTTTTCTTGGCAGTGACTTTTCTGGCAGCCAAACTTTCCGGTAATCATATCACAATTTTTGCTCTCGTTAATTCCAGCAGACTAACTTTGTAATGTACTATTCATAAGGTTGCTGAAAATCCGTCGACCACCAGACTAATATGTAAAGCAACAAATCATTTCGTCTCAAGTGTCGCGCAGTAGCTCATCTACAAACAAGGTGACTCATACTTGCTCAGAAATTTACACGGTACACTGAACGACAAGCTGAAAATCCTCGACCACCAGACTAATATGTAAAGCAACAAATCATTTCGTCTCAAGTGTCGCGCAGTAGCTCATCTACAAACAAGGTGACTCATACTTGCTCAGAAATTTACACGGTACACTGAACGACAAGCGTTTTAACAAGTTGGTATAAATAGCATGTTACTGAGGCCCATATACAGGCAAACAATTAGGGTCAAGTGACTTTAATCAATCCCCGGACACGTGAAAGGGGCGATTAACCGACCGAGACCAGAGATTCGTTCTCCGTTCTGTTGTGCAACCAAATGGTTCGGTGCACACTGAAGAGAAAGGTATTGATCAAACTTATTTTGTGCGCTAAAACGACTTCATGTCACACGATCAATATTCCGTGGACAAACTGATTATTTTACCGTTTGTATGTCCTTGAGTCGTGCTAGACTGTTGCTACACACACTACAAGGAGCACTTTTTTCAACGCAAGGAAAACGATACAATTTCTCACTTTTGGACATTTTAATCTTGACTAGTCTGGCCACAATGCCCGCGATAAATAGAGTTTGCCAACCCTAAAATTTATTTGCTAATTTTGACTGAATATGGGCAACACCCAAATTTGTCAGCCGACGTTCGTTGCGTTACTCACTCTTTTCTACAACTACAGTGGTGCTAACTGCTGACTGGAGGAAGAACATGGACCTTAAACAATACCACACTTGAAGTTCCACTTTCCTGCAAGAGGTATTTGTTCCGAGTTATGCAGTATCATCCATCTTTGGCTAAGGTTGATCTGTAGCTTGGACACTAAAATTCAATTACTTATACATGATAATTTGTCAAAAAAACTGATCATTCCTGGAGTGACTGTGTTGGGTCGCGACTGACGGGGACAGATGTGATGAACTCTTCTCGAGAGTGGGCTGATTCTGGAGAAATGTCTCTTCTGGATAGGGATTGCTGCGTATATTTGAGTCTGATACCAGTGGAATATGATCGTCGATAGTAGTTGGGCGAGTGCCACCTTGCAGTCCTACACGAGTCTGGTGTGGTTTGTTACTGAGTGTCCTCAGCTTGTATCTCTCCCGAGTTTGTTTTCACTGCTATCCCAAAGTTGGTATTGTATACATTATATTTATTATCAGTTGTTTTGATGCATTTTACGGTATTATAGTGGGTTGCTTCTTGTTGCGATATCTATTCGACTGATTTTATATCCATGCAAACTTACCTAAAGGGCGCGTTACCTCACTGGATCACCCGGAATGGTAAACCGAGAAAATGTTTTAGAGGAGAGTTCCCGTGTGTTGATGCACAGAACAGGCTAAACAATGCTCTCCAGACCGTTTTCTGTACAAACTTCTCATCTGAAGCATTCAGCTCCACACACCTGACCATTATTGTCTATTAGTTTGACATGCTGATGACATTAAAACGACTCCCTTCTAATCACTCCGGAGGGTTGTTTTTGGATCACTGTGATACTTTGCCTCTTCAAACAGCGGAATTGAGGCGTCTTTAAGTCTTCGACAACCGATGCCTCAGAACCACAGCTTGTCTTGGCTGGTATCGGGTAGTCCGTCACGGGATAATTAGGAAATAGCGTTTGGTTGTGAAACGGGGACTTTAACCGCAGCACTTTCTTAGCACAAGAAGTGGCGTTGGTTACTGCATGTATAACACATGTCGAACCATCGTTTATCGAAGAGGGTCCTGTGCGAAGTCCAGAGCAATGGAGACGAAGAGATGACCAACCCGAGACCTGGTAGAGGTGTATGGAGAAGACTATGAAGAGTGTGGGCGCTGTCGGTGGGAATGGATTTCCAGGATGAAGACCATGTGATCGCCACTGAATCTATTAGAGACGCATCAAGATATGACCGCTAATCGATGTCATTGTTGCTCTTGTTGTCAGCTTTTAGCCAGATTACCTAAATGGTGTGTGGAAAACTTGGGATGATTGTGTTGGGTTAGCAATAAATCCATCCATAATTGTTTTCATCACAATAGGGTATTCGAATAAATTATGATTGAAAGGCAGCAAAGCATCAGTTCTGGACACTGATGCCACGTTGTTGATGATGATGGCGATGATGATGGTGAATCACCATCCGGCACTATTACTTTGGTTTGTACCGGGTTCAGGCTGTGTTTTAACACAAACCAAGTGTAGCACCACACATTGTGCTCTAGGTTCCACTGGCACATTTCGATGTGACAAGCACTTTTAGAATAGGATACCAACCAAACATAAGTCTGATGGGGGGGCAATGAAAGGAGTGTCTTCATTCAAGTAGCTATTGTGTCCGCTTGTGTCCCTCATGGACTTCATGAAACTCGCGGAGAAAGTAGGCAACTTTGAAACACACAGCTACAACGCTCCAGGTATCTGCATTGTGTGCTGCTCATTGGAGAGGCATCAGTACAAAACACAGAGGTGAAGCTATTCCGTCTCGTATCTCCAC